AAAAAAAAAAAAAAAAAAAAAGCAAGCTTATGACATAAGTGCTACATATTTGTTATTCTAGATTTAACAAGGACATTTTAATAAAGTCAGATCTTGTTAAACAAAAATAAATATTTAAACTGCTACATAAAGGGTGAGCATGATGCCCTGAGGTTGATGAAAAATGTCTGTCGCATGATCCTGGTCCAGATTTCATGCTCCGCTTCGTTACCTCTTCTGTCCTCTCTGAGCCTGTTTCAGCAGCGAATCAAAGTCGAGGTCTTCAAACCGGCTTTTGGACGGGGACGGATCTGCATCTCTGTTAGCGTCTGGAGAACAAAGGAGCATTTACAAACTCTGGATTCCACCTGACCACTGAACAGCAGAAAAAAACTGCTAATGTGAAACTGCAGTTCATTTATACTCAAAGTTATCTAAAGATGTCCTTTTTAGTTTTGGTCTCTATGAACTATAAATTACAGGTTCAGAAAAGCTACCATCAAAAACATACATGCATATTTTATTATTAAACCACTTATTATCAAAAAAGGAGAACTCTGTTGTTCTGTCTTGGGTCAAACGTTCAAAAAGTTGCAGCACAATCGATTCAGGTCTATTTTTTTCTATCTGAGATTTCCTCAGATTTTCCCACGGTCTATCCACAGAGAAAACAACTCACTCCTTTGTCTCACACTTAAAAGTAGAATCATCCTGTATCTTGATCTGACAGCTGCCGCTCACAAGCTATACACCGATGTTGCCCGTCGCTGAAGGATTTAAATAGTGAATGTTTGTCGCATTTGAGATGAGTGTTTTTCTGAACTGGAATTGAACAAGGAATGCATCCATCCATTTTCTTTCGCTTATCCGGGGTCACGGAGGTAGCAGCCTAAGTAGGAAGGCCCAGACTTCCCTCTCCCCAGCCACTTGGGCCAGCTCTTCCGGGGGAATCCCGAGGCGTTCCCAGGCCAGCCGAGAAACATAGTCCCTCCAGCATGTCCTGGGTCTTCCTCTGGGTCTCCTCCCGGTGGGATGTGTCTGGAACACCTCACCAGGGAGGCGTCCAGGAGGCATCCTAAACAGATGCCCGAGCCACCTCAACTGGCTCCTCTCGACGTGGAGAAGCAGCGGCTCTACTCTGAGTCCCTCCCGGATGATCGAGCTTCTCACCCCATCACTAAGGGAGAGCCCACAGGGAATGCAAGTAAACCTAAATGGTTTTGATGTGATATATTGAAGTGGGTAGGACTTTCACTGTGTATAAGAAGAGAGCAGTGCAGAGTGATGGATCCTGGCGAGTGGAGGGAGACATTTTATCCACCACCAGGTGCAATGGTGGAGCCACGTGGTGGCTAACGGTGGCCATGGCCCCCAAAGATTATTGTCTAGCCACCCCAATCAGTTGAGGAAACTACACTTTTAAGGACTGAAAAAAATAGAAAACTTGACTTTTCTTAAATGGTAAGGGAAGTCAGTTTGTTAGTTTATGTATATCAGTGTTTCCCCTAGTTATCCAGGGAGGGCACCAGTCCAGTCAACAAAACCCTTCACCCACAACTCCCACCCTCGCCCCGGTCAACGAAGCACTAAGCTAGCGGCACGCAATATAGACGTGCTAGCTATAAAACTACAGACGTGGCACTCCACTTCTCTCACGCATCCCCCCCTCCCCCCCAGGGGAAACACTGTATATGAATGGCGGTGGATATCTTGGATGTTCATATGGCTACCCAATTTTCGATGGTGACTTTTTTTTTACGCCTAGATGCAGCCAAACACCAAACTTGACGTCAGTATGTTACTTATTTTTCAAGCTATCCAGCTCACAAGGTTTACATACATTGATATGGTGACAGCCATCTTGGATTTTGATGCGACAACTTAATTTTTGAAAATAAAATCCTACGCCTAGATATGGCGACGCACCAAAATGGAAGCCAGTTCCTTACATATTTTTCAAGTTATAATGCTCACAACAATCACGGACAGACAGATACTATTTCCAATTCCCCTTCTTCGCTCCACAACGGGGGACAATTATTCTCTTTGACAAAGTAGTTTCCAGGACGCTGTCTGGAAGTGTTCATATCTCACCAAGATCGGCGTAGTCTGTGCTGCAGAACTGTCTTCGTCCACCAAAGCAGATGTCAAATGGCAACTCGTCGGGCTTCCGTAGTTTGCCACCGTTATCGATGGCTGCAAAAGCGTCTTCCATATTGTAGAACGTAACAAAGCCGTAGTGGTCTCTGTGGGAACCAAAGATGGGCGATTTTAATTAACAGGTAAAATAAGCTTCAAAGAGCCGAGCCAGTTATTTTGCACACCTACCCTCTGTCTCTAAAGTGAAGCGAGACACATTCTACCTCTCCAAACTGAGAAAAGCGTTCGCTCAGTTCATCTTGGGTCATAGTTCGACGGATGCGACCCACATACACCACCCTGCGTTCATCCTAGGTCAACAGATGAAATATCTTTACGGACCTGAAAAGACATCTATATATCCACACTGTGACGTTTACTCACTATGGCTTTAAGTTTCTGATTCATCACCTCCTGCTCTTTCCTGAGCCTCCTGGACTCTGAGCTGCTGCGGGAGCAACGAGAGGAAGAAGAAAACAGAAATTACTCTCTTAAAATCATCAATCTTGAAATCATCACCAAAAGCTCAACAATAAGCCCAACTGACCTGCGGACTTCTCTCCACAGTCTGCGGCGTATCTGTGGAGGAGGTGACCAGGACGGTGTGGGAGATCTAGACCGAGACCAGGACCTGGATCTAGACCTGCTGAATCTGGAATATGACAACCTGTAGCGCCGAGGAGGGGAGCAGGAAACACAGGAAGATGAACATGAACTGCTTTCTGATCGCCGGTGATGGATCCTGTGGGACAGACGTAGAGAGGGTAAAATTTACACCCATGAAGCTTACGTAACGTAATGCACGCCTTAAAAGGAATGCATATCACCCGCCGCAGTTCAAGCTGAAGTTTTAGACTAAGATCATCTTGCATTTGGAAAGGATGGAGTTGTAGTTTTTCTGATCATACTTTGAAAATACAGTCGAATAATGTATTTTTTGGACTATAAGGTGCACCGGATTAAAAGGCTCACTGTTGATTTTTGAGACAATTAAAGGATTTCAAGTGTGTCTTATAGTCTGAAAAACACGGTAGTTTCATGCTGTATTAAAAGATGTTTATGCTCAGGGTATGTGTTGTGAATGACTCTCAGCTACTACCGCACCAGATTTTAGCATAATGTCTGTCAAATTAACTGAGTTACAGTCAATTTTATATTGGCTGGTGTCGAATAATTGTGGTAGCCATTTTGAAATGGGTCGACTTCAAAAGTTAAATCCATTGTAGCTAGTGATTATTTCCTGAAAATCTCAATGAATCCCGTCAAGTGGTTCATGAGATATTTTGCTAACAGACAGTTGACTCTGAATAGTTAAATGATACATTTTAAACAAAGATCTTGTACGATCCGATTAGTGCTCGGAAAGAGTTGGGACTTGGTCTCAGATGAGTACCTCGGTCTTTTCGGAGAGCAAGATGAACAACTGGAGGATGACGATGATGACGATGAGCTGGACCTGGAGTCAGAGCGTGGAGATCTTCTTCGGTATCTCCTCTTGTCCCTTCCCCTAACAGGAGGGCTGGGAGGGGGTGTAGGAAGAATAGATGGGGGGTTCTGGGTTTTGTTGTCACCCTTCGTGACGGCTGAGTCTGAGAACGGCAGAGCTTCTGAACAAGTCCAGGGTTGCTGCTGCTGCAGCGCAGTTTGTTCATCTGAAGCATGTTTTTTACTTTCCTCGGGGGGGTTGGAGTCCCGGGTCTCCAGCTGCTGTTCTGTTGGGGTCTTAGACATTTCTTCAAGTGGGGAGGGCTTCGCTCTGCTACACTGAAAGGCAGGAGGATAACCCACAGAGCCACAGTAATCATGATCGAAGGGTAAATATGAAAACACGTGAGCAGGGGGCGTCTCTGCTGGGCTCATGAGGGTCTTCCTGGCTGGGAGGGGGCGCGGGTCGATTATCCGAATGGACTTGGATGGAGGTCTTTGTCGTCTTGCGAGCAGCTCTTGTTGAGAGCTCACAACGATTTCAGTGCCGAGTGGCTCGGGGATGTTTACGGGCTCCACCGTTTGCTGGTCTAACAGACTCCCTGAAGTTCTCGAAGGTTCACGTGGTTCCACGGGGGGTTTGAGCTGAAACCCAGAGGTCCTCTCTGATCCTGCAGCCTCGGGTTTCTTCAGGTCATCCGTTTGTAAGTTTGAAGGTAAAGAACCAGGGATGAGTGTGCGCTCAGTTTGGTCTTCTACAGCTAAAGGTGGAAGATTAAAAAACAGAAGTTAGACAAGAATGGACGATCATACATCATCGTCTCTTAGCTTCTGACTGGTGTAACAGACAACATGGAAGAGCTCATGCATCAACATCAAGATCAAAGAACTGTATCCAAAACCGCCTGTGGCATTTGTGAGGTTTGCTATACGTTAAACCTGAAAATCAAACCTACTTCTACATTTCAGATCATCTGTTTGTATAAAATAACGCTAGCCCGTAGTTCAAATTCAAAACACACAGTAAATGTTTCTTTTGGACCACGATTGTCACCTTGTGTTTCCTCAAACTGCTCCAGCAGGCTGGTCAGATCAAACGCTTCAATTCCTGCCAAAATTTTAAAAAAAGAACAAAATCTGAGAATATCACTTTGAAAGGATTGTATTTCCATCTAATTCTTATCACCAATACATTTAAATCAGATTAACAACTTTAATATCAGTATTTAAAGAACAGTTTTTCTTTCCATGGGTTAATCGGATCATACAGAACTGGTACGTTGTGATCTTTAGACATCTTTAAAAAAAAAAGAAAAAGGATAATTTGTTCTACCCTTCTTTCAATTCTGTACGTTAAATTATTATAAATCACTTTTTCCCAAACTGTCCATTTACTTTTCCCGTATTTCTACAGTTTACCTGATTCAACTGCAGCGCTCAGCTCTTTGCAGTCAGTTTGAGGTGGTGACGGTTCTCCTGATGAAATTTGGAGAACATCTGGCGACTCCTCCTTCACCAGCATGGACGTCTCTATGGGAGGCGTGGGACACTTTATAGATTTGACTGGATCTGGACTTGATGACTGAGGACCCTTAGGTAGCGGCTCAACTCTGTTTGTGTGGCTCGGGCTGCTATTTGGAGGTTTAACTGATGATGGAGCTGACCCAGTTTGTACTGGAGATCCAGAGGAAACATCTGGAGGCATCTTGGTAGGACTGGCTTTACTTTCCTGAGACAGTGTAGTGGTAAATTCTTTGTTTACAGATGACACAAGTGGCTCTGTGTCTAATGTGATGGCCTGAGAAGGTGCAGCGGAGAGGTCGTTTTGGATTTCTTGTAGGCATCTGGACTCAGACGAGGAGTTTGAAGCAGGATTTGAAGGCAGGGAGAGGAGGACAGGATTTGGAGGATCAACATTAAATAGAGTTTGCTGCTTTATTGGACTCTTCTTGCCTTCTATCAGGACAAGATTTAGGTTAGCTGTGTTATCTGGGAGTGGACTGGCAGGTGAGATCATTTTGGATTTAGCTCTTGAGTACTTCAGTCTGCTGCGATGCGGATAAGAAGTTCGTTTGGACTCTGAGGGATGCAATGAAGAGGCACGATGGGATGAACTCTCACTTCTATGAAGATCTGGATCAAGGTGTGTCGTCTTTGGTCTGCAGAGGTTACGTTCCTGTCTCTGAAAGCCGAAGATCGGGGTCAGCTCTTTAGGGGTCTCGGGGACAGAGGGCCACTTGGTCATGTAATCCCCCGGTTTCTCCACCAGGGGTCGCCTATTCTGACGAAGTTGCCTGTACTCCTGGAGGCTGAGGGACTTCACTTTCGGCTCACCTTTCTTATCGCTCTGTTGTCCAACATCAGCGTTATCTTTTCTGTCAGGTGTCAGTGTTGGAAGTTCAAGGGTTAAACTTTCGGATTTAGTTTCATTTGTGTCTCCGCTGAGTTGGTTTTTCTCACCGATCCCCTCTTCCTCCGATTCATCGAACGAAGCCACGTGAACGGGGCCAAAGCTCACTCTCTTCCTCTCTCTGGTCGATGCAGCTCTGGACGAGTTTCCATTCAGCAACACGCTCTTCAAGCACCGACCTTTATCTCCCTTTGCCTCCAACCCGTCCTCCTCCTTTGTCCCTTTCACGGGTGCCTCTTCATCAGATACAACATTTATTTCTTCATCGCTCTCCTCGGTGGGCTGTTCATACTTCCACACCTCTTCTTGAGAAAAAAGAAACTGTTTTTTCCTCGATTTGTCCTCCTTCTCCACGTGAAGCTTCAGACAGTAAGGATGCATGAGATTCACCAGGCTGAGGATAGACGCCGAGCTGAAAACCTCAACTTTAGCCTCTGCTTTCTTATTTTTTGTGCAAAACAATTGATTTTGGGTTTTCAACATCTGTGGAAGACTATTTTCTTCTGTTTTATACCCCTGGTAGTTTTCTCCATTAGTCGTCGGTAGTTTGGGTCTGGAGCGAAGTCTCTGAGAGGGTGAAAAGTCCTAAAAATAAAAAAAAGGTAGACAAAAAAACATTTAGGTCTGATAAGTTTAGAAAGTTAAGGAAACACTGGTTCTCCCCTAAAATCTTAAGTTTGTAGGACAGTTCGGTACATCTTAACCACTTTATAAATAAATTTAACGGACATCTGATCAAATATTTAATTGATAAACGCTGACGGAAAACTACTTGGATGAATTCTGGATGCTTCTTTTGAGCCCATATGTGGCTTCTACCAACCTTAGAGACATTGTTGTTCCTGTACGCAGTTTGACTGAGGAACTCGGAGTCTGGCAGGACGTCGAAGGGAGAAAACGATTTGTCTTCATCTTCCTCCACCCGGTCAAGCATCTCAGTCAGCGCAGACAGCATGGTCTCATTTTCCTCATCCACAATATTCTTACTCTAAAGGGGAAAAAAGCTAAAGTAAGATTTTATCCATCAAATTTGCATCGGTAAATGTTGATTTTGAACTCTCAGAGGGCTAATCTCTATTTAATGACACCAAGCGACTGTTGTAGACTTTTCAAGTATCAATTCATCGTAATATTCTAACCTCTGACGCAACAGCAGAGTCTTCCAAAATGGCCAAGATGGAGCAATCAACACAAGACGGTGTGTCAAAGTTGCCTCCTCCAACATGACTTCTGTTCAGGACAAACTGCAGGCACACAAACATAAAAAACATAAACTTTCAAATAAAATAAAGAGCTTAAAATAAATCATATAATCCTTGATTCACCTAATAAGATTGAAAACCTAAGCTGAAATACAAAATATCTAACTGATGAAGTTTATAAAGGTAAAAAATATAAAGGGTATAAAACCCAGTCTGTGTGTGTTAAAACTTTCTGCAGCCATCTTGGATTATTTAAAGCACATGAGGGCTCAGGACTGCCCCTTTAATCAACTGCAGAGCTCCAAATACAGAGTGAGAAGTGGTTCTGATGTATTTTATTATTCCATACACCAAACTTTTATTAAAACTATAATATTTTGTTAAAACTTGAGATAAGGGGGGCATGGTGCGTCTAAACTGAAGGTTTAATTATGGTTTAAATGTGAGTATAGTATAAAAAGGAAACCCATGTGTATCATCTCTTTGCGATTTAGGTGTTCAAGCTGATACATTTGCAGAAACAATGTGACAAATGTGCCTTATTCACATTAAAAGTTAAAACACTTAAAGAGAGCGCTGTCAAACCAGAACATCCTGTTCTTTAGGGGGGGAAACTGGTCTCCCTGATACCATTTAAAACATTTACGGGAGTAATTAAACGAGTAATAAACAGGTGATAACATTAACCACACTATCACTAATCGGTCTCGTGCCTGTTCGGTCCAAACGTGAGGCTGATCGATCAGCTCAGCCATCTTCCTGATCGGTTTTACTACAACTCGCTCGATATGAGCCACGTGTCGCTGCCCGCACCCATGTGGCCTAGCGAAACGGCGAAACATGGCCGACTACATCGGCGAAAAAAGTTTCCGTTTGATTAATTTTATAGCAGACAATCTGAAGAGTGGAAACCGGTACCTCGTTGGAGGTGTTGTGGAGGAGAAAGTCGCTTTTGCCGGTGTTTAAATGACCGTCTTCCCCACTTAACCGAGCCGCCATCTTGCTTCTCCACATGGGCCACTGCAGGCAGGTCGGATGGAGTCACGTGATCAACGGCGGGAAACGGCGCAGGGGAAAAAAAAAAAAATCTGATCTGAGATCAGATCCAAACCTCGGGTTCCATTTCGAGGAGCGAGATAGCGCAAAGTCATCCGACCTCAGGTCAGTTGTAAATTCTCTGCATGTTTTACATTGATTTTGACAAATTGCTCTTAAAAAAGTTACCTTTTTGACGTTTAAACAAATTATTAGCGGGTTAAAGACGCTGTATCAAAGTTTAGTACGAGGCAATAATGCTATAGGAGCTAAATGTTGGCTAATAATTAACAGTAGCAAAAAGCTAAATACTAAAATATCAGAAATGCTAGAAAAACAAAAAGCCAGATAAGCACAAACTAGTGAAAATCCACAAGAAGACAAAAGTAGAGGTAGTATGTGTGTAAAAAATACAAAACAAAAAAAAGTTATTTGATTCAATTCAACCTTTATACAGGTTAGTCTCATTGAGCCTCAAGGACTCATTTACAAGAGAGACCTTTTAAACAAAGAATGATGACAACAGTCGACACTCGTAAAAAAAAAAAAAGTGCATAAAATGAAAATTAAATGGAAGAAGTTGTATTTAATAAAAATAAAATGAAACAAAAAACAGCTACATTATAGCAGTCTGAAATACTAAAAACAGGAAGATGTCTGCATTGGTTTTTGCCATGAACTTAGCAGTTGTTTGAAGCCACTTTGAGAGGTCAAGGTCAAGAGCTTCAGGTCTTTTTGCAAGATATCCCAGGATTCAGGAGCGAAGTAGCAGAAGGCCCTTTTGCCTAATTCGGTTTACACTGAGGGAGCACTGAATACAGGGTGCAGTGATGGGAACGGTAAGTCTGTTATGAATCTTAACGCACCGTGATAGACGGCGTCCAACATCTGTAAGGTGCTTGTAGGAGCAGTCATGTAAATAATGTCACCGTAGTCAATGGAGGGAAGGAAAGTTGCAGTTACAAGGCGTTTCATAGCATTCAGAGTTAGACAGGATCTATGTCTGAGAAAGAAACCCAGTTTTACTTTTCGTTTCTTTACCAAGTGTTCGACATGAGACTTGATTGATCTTTGATTACACTGCACCTTGTATTCGTTGGTTAAATGGACACCATTAACTTCACGCAGAGACTCTCACTGGTACATTTTCATCTTTAAATCACTTTTTGGTCTGCTGCCTTCATACATCTCCTCCTACATGTCACTGTGTGAGTGCAGCTACAGCGTGCACTCTCAGGATGTTATTACATGCAGTGTTCCCTCAGTGCGGACTGAACTAGGCAAAAGGTGCTTCTCCTACGCCGCTCCTGTTTCCTGGAATATCTTGCAAAAAGATCTGAAGCTCTCAACCTTGACCTCTCAAAGTGGCTTCATACATCTGTTAAGATCCTGGCAAAAACCAACACATACATGTTCCTGTTTTTAATATTTTACATTGCTTTATAATGTAGCTGTTTTTGTTTAGTTTTTTTATATAATTTTCTTCCATTTATTTTTCTCTATTTATATGCTTTATTTTATTACTGTATACTGTTGTCATCATTCTTTGATAAAGTAGGTCTCTCTTGTAAATGAGTCCTCGAGGCTCAATGAGACTAACCTGTATAAATAAAGGTTGAGTTGAGAAATTTAACGTCCAAATGAACAAACCTGTAGTTCTCATTTTTATCCACTAGATGGTGGTGTTGTACAGCTTTCATTACATTGACCCCGGATTTCCTTGTAAAGTTGTGAAAGAGTTGTGATAACTGTCTCTAGTCAGTTTATTTATTGAATCTAGTAGTTGAACACGAACTGGATGTAGAATGCATCACTGATGGTTTTATCTAGTGTTTTTCTGCTTCCCGTGGAGGACAGTGACTGTCTGGTTTGTTATCTCGTGCGTCCCACCAAAGAGTTGACCTTTAGTGTTGAACGTCACAGTCGAGTCAACAGCTGCAGTAGATCAACAGACAGAGAAACATGCTCAGAAGCATGCATTTTTATAAACTACCACACAATCATTTAAATATTTTTATCATCTGCATTGTCTCCCGGTGTGTACGCATACTTTGTAATATGTTTTGTGTTTTTATTTCTTGTTGCTCTGTTTTTTCTTCTGTTTAGCTGCTACACTTTATTCAGTCCCTGCTGCACACAAGCCACCTTCGTCTTTATCTTCCACCTCTCTTGGAGAATGTTATCGTCTGAAATGGGGCCAAAACATCCTCCGGTCTCCAGCGGGTGAAGTGCTGCCAGTGTGCAGAGGCATGTATAAGAGTCTTTGTGTGTGTGTATGTGTGTGTGTGAGTGAACAGAGGGGGAGCACTGTGTAAGTGGGTCACCTAACTGCAGCATCCAGCGCTCCACAACCATGTCAGTACATGGCCCCACACGCACAACACATTTAACCCACTCTGCTTCCACTCTGTCTCATTTCTCTACAGGTTTTCACAGGAAATGTAAAACTCACCCACTCTGTGCCGTTAGGCTCCAAGTAAAACAAGATGAAACGTTTCATCTCTCCCGCGCTGCTCATCCTGAGCTCACTCTTGACCTGCAGAAGAACTCTGACGGCCCTCTTCTGGCACATCTTTTTTATTAAGAACCCAGAAAGCCAGAGTTCTGAGTTAGGCTTCCTTCTCTCAGTCTCACCTTTTAGCTGCGTTGTGTTTTGTTCTGTATGACTCCTTGTCATCTTGGATGCTCAGCCATGTAATTCTTTTCCTGTACGACCTTTCAAATGTTGCGTAACAGCAACTCTGCATGCAAAACAGCAAAAACATTCTGATCTTTAACCAGACACCAGAGAACATGGACTGGTGACTCACAGGCGTTACTTTGAGACTGACGAGAGCTTTTGTTAAGAGTTTTCTTTCTTTTTTGTTTCTTTCATAACAGAGGTGAGGAATGTCCTCCCACAAGGTTTAGAGAACATCTGCTGGTGAGAAATGAATACCTGGGAGAGACCGAGGGAGAGGAGGATAGAAACTTTACATTAATGCAGGAAACAACAGCCCAAGACAGAACAAGAGAGGAGGAGAAGCCTGACCTTTTCTACAGGACAGCAGAGGTGAGAGGCTAACCTAACCTCTCAGTGTGGAAACAGAAACCCACATTACTAATGTAGCTAAAAGGAACGGGATGCAGAATCTGTCTCGTACAAACGTTTAAAGACTCGATCAGGACAGCTTCGGCTGTTTGTCTTTAGTCTGAAAGCTCAAAGTATTTCTTAAGCTAACTAAAGAAATGGCATTTTCTGTGAAAACACAGCGAACGCCGAGTTCTGGATGACTTCTAAAAGAAAAAGTAGATAAAACACTAGCAAAAAGTTAAAAATATCAAAACAATAGCTAAATATGTCAAAACACTAGCTGACAGCTAAAAGTGGGAAAACGACTAGATAAAAGCTAAATAAAGCAAAATGTTGGGTAATAGCAGAAAGTAGCATAATGTCAGCTAAAAGAAGCAAAACATTAGCTGAAAGCCAAAAGTATCAAAATGCTAGCTACATGGTCAAAGAAGTAAGAAGTTGGCTAAAAGTATTAAAAAAGTAGCTAGCTAAAATATAAAAAGACTATAAAATATAAAAGTAGGACACAGGCTAGCTTAACGCTAAATAAAGCAAAAATGTTAACTAAAAGCAGAAAATAGTATAATGCTAGCTATAAGTTAAAATATAAAAAACTGAAAGCTAATAGTAGCAATATATTGGTTAAAAACAAAAAAAAAAAGCTGAAATTATCTAAAGGGTAAATAAAAGTAGCAAAAGAAATCTAGCAAAATGCTAAAATAAAAGGCTATCTAGAAGTACAAAAAAGCTAAAAGTATCAAATGACTAGGTGTAGTTTAAAAAAAAAGGCTAAATAAACGTATCAAAAGGTTAGCTTAATTAACAAAAGGCTAGAAGTAGTAACATGCCAAAAGCAGCAAAAGGCTAGCTAAAGGTAGTGCAAAAATATAGCCAGTAATGCTGAAGAAGTTTTTAAAGATGAATGCTTTGGGGGGAATTAAAGATGTCAGTCTATTTCTATGGGGAAAAATTAACAAATTAAGTTACATATTTTGAAAAGTTTAGAAGTTACCAAATCCAACTTTGACAGAAGACAGTCTCCTGAATGAGCTGAACGTTTTGATTCACCTGTAAGTAATCTGCTGAATCAGCATTCACACAATCAAGCAGCACATTTGCCTTCCAAACACCATTTTCTGATGACTCTGCTGCAAAGCAATGCACAAGGGCTGCATTGGCCTCCTTCAGCGGACTCTGAGTGATTTGTTTGACTCTGTGGAGCTGAAGTTTTACAGTTATGCTTCTATTCTTTCTAATTTAAACCCTCCTTGAAACCGACAGGTCAGCAGTCTGCTGCTGTGGACCAGCTGACTGATGATGCAGCTTCAGCTGGGCCATTTTCTTACTGAAGTGTTGATCGTGTGCTAAAAATGAGATTTGTCTAAAACCGAACAGGGTTTAGTTTTGCTGACAGTTGATGCTTATTTTGATCTGCACACAGGATAAAGTGCAACCACTTCTTTTGCTCCTGTGCCGTCATCAGATCCTCACCATTCTGTTTGAAGAGGTCAGCAGGCAAACGCCAGGTTGACGTTTCTCTTTTTCTAATGGAATACATGCAAAGATTATTTAGAGCTGGTCGGCTGTAAATCGAACCTTTTATAACATAACTGATTATTGAACATGCATGCGTGCATTCAACACAATATCTATAATGAGTGGTTTAAAGTCATTTTTTTGTGTTTGTTAATGCTGACAAGCTGTGGTGACCATCTTGAATTGGTAGTTAACCAGTTGTGGAGGAGCACCTGATGGTTACTTTATGAGTTTTAATAAAGTCCACTGGTTCGTGACATATTTCGCTGACAGACGATCAGGTGGGGTACTCCCTGGACATGTCCAGGGCAGGAAGGAAAAGTAAATATGAAATTCATGAAGTGGGTTCAAAAACTATCTGATTTTTTTTTTTTTTTTTTTTGGCAATAATTTGTCAGG